ATTTTGATGATAAGACTTAAAAACTGGTTTATTAGGAAAAGATTAAGACGTAAAATGGGAATGTTAAATTGTGGGCAATCAGCCAATCAAGTAGTTGATGGAAATTCCATTGACTACTCAATTAGTCAATAAGAGGGGAAACTGCAGAGCTACAGTGGGTTTAGCTCCCGCCCAGGGAGCTAACCCAGCTGCACCTCTGCTTTTTAAACGTAAAAGGCAGAGATGTAGTAGGGAGGACCAGGCACAAGCTGGGAATCAGCAGTTTCCTGGCTCGCTCCTGCTCCCTCTAGCTGCGCTGGCAACTCTTAATACATTTAAAAAGAAGAGGCGCAGCATCCCCCACTATGCCTTTGTCTCTTTTGCTCTCCCAGATGGTTCTGGGGGCAGCCAGCTTAAAAGCCCCCTCCCAGCACCAGCTCCTGCACTCCTTCCCTCCCTTGCTGCCTCTCTCTGATAGAGGCAGCAAACAGACCAGGAGGGAGGTGGGCAGGCATGGGCGTGGGGGAGTGACTAGTTGAGTCACTATTCGATTTCCCAATGAGCGTATGTTTATCGGGCAGTCAACTAGTCACTTGCATCCCTAATGTAAACAGTTTGTTAGTAGCAGGAATAGATGAATCGTCAAATATTCTCAGCTTGCAAACGTTTTTTAAAAAACTGAATACAGGTTGCACCTCCCTAACCAGGACTCTCTGGTCTGGCAACTTCTGTAGTCCTAATGGACCACCGATGTTCTCGGTCCAGAGAGCCACAGTGACTAGGAGTTGTGCAGCAGGAAGATTGGCACTTGGGAGCGTGGTAGGCCTGGTAAGGACCCGGCAGGGGAGCCAAGGTTATGGTAGCCCAGCAAGGGAGCTGTGGCTGCAGCTGCAGCGGCACAATAGCCTGACAAGGGGGGCCCCTGGGACCATGGCATTGAAGCAGCCTGGCAGGGTGGCAACAGGGTGATTGGGTTGGTGGGCCACTGATATTGGACCTCCTCTGGTCTGGCACATTCACTCTTTCGGGACCAGTCCGATCCCGAGGATATTGGACTAGGGAGTTCCAACTGATAGTATGCATAAGCAGAATTGACTATAGAATATATCCATTTTTAGCTGACTGTTAAAGAATGGTAAAGGTGTATCTGCATTTCAACAAAGCAGGATACTCTTACACTTCAGTAATAAGAATTTGGACAGGATACATCTTTCTAGGATCTACAGTATTTTCAACATCAGATCAGAAACATTTCAATTTGGGGCTATTCCTGAAAATGTGAAAATGATTTTGTGAACCGTGGCATCCTCTCCAACATTCTGCTGTGAGTTTTACATTTATATTGTTCTGCAAGACTACTGTGCAGAACAGAACTTGTGCTGGTATTCTTTCCATCAGGGAAAACACATAACTGCTCACAGGGGCTATTGTGTATATTTCCTCTGGTCTATTAAACTTGATGTTGCATTTCTTTTTCCAACCTAACCTTACATGGTCAATATTCCCTGCAGTTTTCTAGGGTAAAGCACATAAAACATACCTGTGTTCTACCACATTTTGTATTGAGATATCAGAATAAGTATATAAGGCATTCCAACATTCTCAGAGTATTTTGTTCAAGTGCATTCCAATCAGGCTGGGGTGGGGTGGGGTGTGCGCTCATGCATAGTAGCTGGAGGAAATTTTTTCCAGCTACTAACTAGCCGTAGGGTCAGCTTCCATGCCTCCTGAAGTGTTACCCAATGGCCACCAATATAGAGCAGCACTGACTCTTCATTCTTCAGTTCCTTCTTACCGCCAAGGACGGTAACTAGAGCATCCCCTGCTCTAAGCAGACTAGCACCTTTCTCATTCTGTTGTAAATAGTTTAGTCTAGTCTTTATAGTTTAGTAGCAGTTAGTTGTAAGATAAGTGGGGAGGGGGTTCACCTTGCAGTTCATTTAGAACTGTTTTTGGGGCATGCCTCAATCCCCAGGTTTCAAGGCGTGCCAGTACTGCTCTAAGTGCATGCTAAAGAGAGACCTACACTCCTCCTGCCTGAAGTGCTTGGGAAAGGGTCACCAGATCTGCAGGGAATTGAGGCCAAGAACCATAAGGGAAAGGGTACAGCAGCTCGGTATCCTTCTCATGGAGGCAGCCTCATGTATCCAATCAGATCCCAGTGCCAGACACAACATCCCTCGTCCAGCGAGGGATTGTAGCTGATTGGCAGCATCAATCAGATCAGCATCAAGAAGAACCACCCCTCTCTTTGGTCATCTTATTGAGAGTCTGAATCACTCTTACAGATCAGGGTATATGGGAAGTCGGTGGCTGTCGTCTCGGCACCAGAGGAGATCTCAGCTATCCCAGTGGCCACCCCAGTGGCCATTTTTGATCCTCTGGGCCTTCCACCAAGGACAGGATAGGAGCTAACAGTTACACTTAGGAGTGGCACCTGTGATGTCAGCCACTTCATCCCACCATAGGCAGCTGAGCAGTGGGTGAAATTTGTAGCCCAGGCACTGACCATGTCACTGATTCATGCCACTTTGGCATCATAGCAGGTCGCAACCACCACTGCAGTCACTGTGAGCCAGGATCACTAATTGATGCAGGCACCAACTCAGATGACATTACCAACATGGTACCCTGGTTGAGACCACAAGCTACACTGACCCAGATGCAAAGAACTGACTCTAGGCACGTTGCTGTGCAGTCAACTCCGAGGCATTCTTTGGGACTCCTCCACTTGTTGCTTCACTGCTGGCACCAACCAGCACCCTCGGATGTGAGACCCTGAGGGAGATGATGGCGGGGAACAGCCACTGCCTCTAATAGAATCATTTTGCACCTCGTCTGATGAAGCAGTGGCGGGTTTGACTGTGGCCCTGGCCCTTGCAGGACTCTAGAGTCTTCAACAGTTGTTGGATAGGGTGACTCAAGGGTTAGGCATCCAAGCAGAGGATGCAGAAGATGATGCCAAGCAATATATAGACAATATACTAGCTCCATCAGGCCCATTCAGAATTTCCTTGCTTCTGATTAAAACCAAAGACCCTATGGCAAACCTCTGCCTCACCTCAGAAAAGGGCAACAAAAATTATTAGGGGTTTGGAATGGATGCCATATGAAGAGAGATTTTAAAAAACTGGGGCTTCTCAGGTTAAAAAAGAGGAGACCAAAAGGGAGCAGTATGATAGAGGTCTATAAATCATGACAGGCAAGGAGAAAGTGAAGGAAAAGAGATTCCCATCACATAAGAACTAGGTGTCACCAAATGAAAGTAGCAGGTTTAAAACAAACAAAAGGAAGGCTTTTTTTCATGTAGCACAGTAAAACCTGTGGAACTCCTTGCCAGAGGATATTGTAGAGACCAGTACTTTAACAAATTTAAAAAAAAAAACCTAGATACATTCATGGAGGTTACATCCATCAACGTCTGTTAGTCAGGATGGGTCAGAGGTTGGAAATGGATGACAGGAGAGGGATCACTTGTTGATTACCTGTTCTGTTCACTCCCTCTGGGGCACCTGGGATTGGCTGGTGGTGGAAGACATGATAATAGGCTAGATGGACCTTTGGTCTGACCTAGTATGGCCGTTCTTATGCTGCAGCCCTTGGCCAAGAAAAATTAAAGATATATCCCTTTGTGGGGACAAAGTAACAACTACTTTTACCCTCACACCCCCAACTTCTTGTGCATGTTTGTGGCTAATCAAAGGGAGAGACATTGCTTCCAAGGGCCTTCTCCCAAGGATAAGAAGGTGAAGCATCTAGACCTGGCTGCAAGGTTTATTCATTGGGGGGAGGGGGGTGGTCAGGAGCACAGGGGCAAGAGGTTTACTCCTGGTATTTCCTAATACCGAAAACAATGTGGAAGGTATCTCAGACCCATTCTAGACCTGCGGGAACTAAACAAATTCATAGAAAGATGCAAATTCCACAGAGTCTCGCTAGCCTTCATTATTCCCTCTGGATCTGGCAGATTGGTTTGCCACCCTTAACTAAAGAATGCATATTTTCACATAGCGATTATCTGCTCGCACAGGAAGTATCCGAGGTTTGTGGTGAATAGGAACCACTGTCAATTTACAGTTCTGCCATTTGACCTCTCTGCAGTCGGCCCTCTTCCCTCCCCCCCATATTTGCTAAGTGCATGGTGGTGGTGGCAGCTTTTCTGCACAAGCACCAAATCCCAAATTTTTCCATACTTAGATAACTGGCTCTTCAGAACCTGGTCCAGTTCCCAGCTTGTGGCACTACAGTTCATCAGGTCTATGTTCTACAGTCTTTAGGACACAAACTGGATAGTCTATATGCCAAATAAAAATGGGCGGAGATCAGATCTCAGGAATGGTAACACACACAAACCTCTAGGGCAGGGATCTCCAAACTACGGCCCGCGGGCCGGATGCGGCCCGTGAGGCCCTCTCATCCAGCCCGTGGAGACCTTTTTGTCTGGCCCCGCCTTCCGCGTGCCGGTGTGACGAGGCGACCCCCGCCTGTCCCTGGGGCGCCGCCGAACGGGCCCTTCTTGCAGCGGGGGGGGGGGCCCTGTCAGGGGTGTGCGGCGTGTACTCACGCCGCGCCGGGGCAGGAGAAGCGGGCCGCTCCGCTGACAAGCGGCCGCGCGGCGGCAAACGGCGCAGGGGGCGGGGGTTAGCACGGGCGGCGGTCCCTCGCCCAGACTGACAGGGCAGCCGGCCAATCAGGGGGCAGGATGGGCTGTGGTGGTAACGCCTGCCCGGCGACGTGCGGGGGAACGTGAACCCCGGCGGGAACTTTAAAAAGGTGACCCCTTCCGCCCGGGGGGGGGGAAGGAGGGAGCGGTGGCAAGCAGGAGGGGAGGACAGCGTGCAGAGGAAGGGGAGAGCAGGGGGAAAAGCCCCCCCCCCTTCTCAGGAGTCCAGACCCGACGGCCACCCAGACGGCAGGACCAGCCCCGGCGGGAGGGGTGGGCGTCTGGATATACGACCATCAGCCTGACGGACGAATCAAAGGTGACCGCCCCACGGTGGGGGGAGGTAGAGGGTCACACGAGGAGGGAAAGGAAGCAGCCCAGGGCAGAACTCGTTAGAGTTGGCGGGCTGACGAGTTACGGCAGGAGCCCCGTCAGCCGGACCGGAGCCAGCTGGTTCCGTGTCCTTAGGGCCCTGGGCTGGGGCCCGTGAGTGAGGGTGGGCCCGGGCCCCCCTTTCCCTCCCCTTCAGCACTGGAGGGAGTGCATGGTCAGAGTACCGGCCGCGCTGCGACAGAGGGCGCAATAGGCAACTGAAATTCCCCGTCGTGAAAGCGGCCCCCGAACTGCTGTTTGATAGTTAATGCGGCCCTCGGGCTGAAAAGTTTGGAGACCCCTGCTCTAGGGGAACATTTTAACAACCCTGGACATTCAGTAATGGATTTCAAGTAGCCATCCTTCTTCAAAAAAATTTCAAATCCAGATTACAGAGGGAGACAACTGAATTGGAATTCATTTGCAAATTCAACACTATCACCTTAGGATTGAATAAGGATTTCAACAGGTTAATGCAGGGGTTCTCAAACTTTGTGATACCGCAATCCACCTCTAAGTTGCTTGTGACCTCCTGGGGGGTCTGGACCCACAGTTTGAGGTACGCGGGGTTAATGCATTACAAAGGCAATTTCCCTTCTCTGGATAGTCATATTTTCACACCAAATCCTGTGAATGACTCAATTCCACTACTTTGATTAGCTTCTTAAACACAAGCAACTTAGTCCTTATATATACACCCCTACTTCTGTAACTTTCAGTTCATCTGATGAAGTGCAGTAGTTCCAGTTTTTACCCACAAAAGCTGATGCCCTAATAAATCTGTTAGCCTCTAAGATGCCGCAGGACTCCTTGTAGTTTTTGCAGATACAGACTAATACAGCTACCCCTCTGAGACTTTCTATACCACGTATCTCCTGTGGTAGCAACAGCTAAACTTAACACTGTTCTTTGGAATAAGGAACATGAAGATAGAGATCATGTGGTTTTTAAATAACTTTGTCCTAGTATGTGGGTGACGATTACCCATCTGCTGATGCATATAAAAAAATGAGAGCTTAGTATTTTATGTATAAATCATTGAGGTGAGAGAAATGATTCAACTACTAGTTTGCAGCAGTTAGCTTTTAATGGCTTAACAAATTTGAAAAATGAATAATAGCTATTTTATTTACTATTTTATGTAAATAAAGTGATCACTAATGTACTTTATTCTACATGTACAGCATCAAAAGCAAAAAGACCTGCTCAGTCTTCTGGAAAAATAACTGTTAAAGCAAAAGAGAAGAGTTATTCAAAACTTGAAATTCCATATCAAGTAGAAATATTAGATGGGTAAGTCTGCATATTTTAAGTGCTGATGGAAAAATTAACACCTAGAATCAGCTGTTTTTCTCTTTTATTGTGTTTTGTGGAATAATGTTGTTGCCCACATATTCTATCTGTGGAGTTCTTCCAATAGCACATGTTCCAATTTTAACTTTCTTGGGAGAATAGATAAGCCACTGTTACTCAGTAATACATAAACTAATTTGAAGATTTGGACTCTGGCTTTCATGAGTTATTTTTCTAAGTGGCTTATAGCTACGTATATCATAGTTTCAGACACAAACTTTTATCACTTGCTCCTCTGTTTTAAAAAGTGGTTCTCAAAGTGGCCCAGAGACCCATGGGGAAATTATGGTGGTAGGTAGAAGGGGTGCAGTGAGGATGGGGCCTGAGGCTGAGTGCAGGTTGAGCACCCTCCAGGGAAAATTACAAGCTAGCTTGAGGGGGAGAGAGGGAGACCCATGAACATTTTTAAATCAGAATGAGGGTTCTCAGGTTGCTCAAGTTTGAAAACTGCTGTTCTAAAAGTTGGAACAACTATTGTTTTGTGCTTGGATTGCCCTGCCACTGTAGTCTGAAGCAAGAGTGGAAAAGACACAATTTTACAGTCAGATTTTAACAATTTAAAGCTCATCTATGAAAATATATCAGGGATACTCCTCTCCTTATTAGTTGTTACTCAGTTGTACTCAACTGTGAATGCAAGTTTATTTTCTAATAATTTAACTGAGGAGTTGCTCTGTAACAGCATTGTTACTATTCTCTTACAGCAAACAGTTTGGGTATGTCTAGACTACATGCCTCTGGTGACAGAGGCATGTAGATTAGGCTACCAGGCATAGGAAAATGAAGCGTCGATTTAAATAATCGCTGCTTCATTTAAATTTACATGCCTGCCGCGCTGAGCCGATCAGCTGTTTGTCGGCTCAGCGCGGTAGTCTGGACGCACGGGGGTCGACATCAAAGGCATTTGTCGACCTCCCAGGTATGCCTCCTAGGATGATTCAGTGTGCTGTGTGTGAACTTCTGAGCTCATTAATTTATGATAATCAAATATTCAAAGCTCACAAAATACTGTATCCATGTAGTACTGAAATAAGAGGTCACTATACAGTGGGAGAACCATCCCTTTTGTGTAAATTAACTAATTTTAGTCTGCAGTAAAGAGCACGAGAATTTTTTAGGCAAGTCTTAAGTTTTTGATGAATCTTTCTGATTAAATAGGTATTTGGGATTTGACCATGCTGCCACATTGTTTCATATCCGGGACAGTCCTGCTGATTCTGTGGAAAGGCCAATATATCTTACAAATACATTCAATTTTGCAGTCCTCATTCATGATGTGGTGTTACCAGAGGAAGTAAAAACAATGTTTAAAGTAAGTCCAATTCCAATGAAAGCTTTACCTATTTTAAATATTTAAATTAACTGTACTATATTAAATTTTAACATTGGTCTTATTTCTTCACTAATTTAGGTCCAGAACTTCAGCAAACCAGTCTTGATCCCACCTAATGAATCCATATATATTTTCACACTTTATTTTATGCCTTCCACATCATCTGTTCATATAGATAACAATATTTTACTTATCACCAATGCTTCCAAATTTCAACTACCTGTGCGAGCATATACTGGATTTTTAGATGTAAGTATTTATTTTTCCTTGAAATTTCATGCAAGGTCAAAGAATACCTGATACTAACTTGGTTTTGTTTCTCCATGGTGACTGTTCAGTTCCTTTGTGATTCAAAACAAAAAAATGAACAAAAAAGTGAACTAAATTTTGCTGCCCCTTTCTCCACAAGCTTCTCAACATACTAAATAATTTGTTGGGGATTGGGTTAATGTGATAGGTTTTCCTCCTGTTTTTTCCACACTTGCTCAATTATGTAGTTTTAGTTTACATATAGAGTAAAGTATAGTCCCAGTTTTTTAATGCTTTCCCTTATTAATGTATTTGCTAATGAATGATTTTGAATGTAATGTGTATTTTGAAGTGCATCTACAATGTCTTTCTTAATCTTTCTAGTACTTTGTATTGCCTCCTAAACTCGAGGAACGTTTCATAGATTTTGGCATATTGAGTGCCACAGAAACTACTAGCATTTTATTTGCAATCATCAACAGTAATCCCATTGAGGTAAGCTTCAACATATTTTGAATTACTGTTTGTTCTGTAATACATTTTTTGTATCTGTCATTGAGATTGTCATCTTTGTCTTTTTTAAGCTGGCTATAAAAAGCTGGCATGTTATAGGGGATGGCTTGGCTGTAGAACTCCTGGTTACTGAGAGAGGCAATAGAACCACAATAATTGCCAACATTCCAGAACTAGAAAATGCCAGTGTATCTGATCAGTCTTCAGTAAGTAAGCCCTTTTTCTTGAGTCCTAAATTAACAGCTCCATGTAGCACATTTATAAGTGATTATATAGCAATGAATGACTTAAGTACAAGTTAGACATCAATTATCCAGCACCTTTGGGACCGAACCAGTCCCAGACTAGAGAAGGCTACCTACCACAGCCCCCAGCTGCTGACTCTGCCAGCTGGGGAAGTGGGCTGGGGGATTGCCTCCAGCCCCTGCTGGGTTGCTGGCACCACTGCTGCTGCCCTGGCCAAACTTCTTACTAGACTCTAACAGCACATGCTGCTGAGGGCTGGTTCTGGCTCTGCTTGGGCTGCCAGAGGCAGCCAAGTGCTAGGGCTCTGGTTCCCACCCCCACGGCAGCCTGCGGACCCTGGCTTCACTTTCGCAAGCTATCCAGGACTTCGGCCCTACCCTGCCATATGTTTCTGGGGCTGCCGCTGGCCCCAGTCTTGCTGCGATGGGTTGCTGAGAGTGCAGGGTCTGCCCTGCAGCAGCCCGCAAGCTCTGGCCCCACTTCTATGGGCTGCCTTGGGCTCTGGCCCCAGGCCTGCATTGCTATGGGCTGTTGCAGGCTTGGTCTTGTGCCCTGACCCAGTCCCAGTGCCATAGGTTATCAGGAGCTGCCAGGGGCTGCTGCTGGCTCCAGCTGCACTGCTGGCTGCTGCCAGCTCCTGCCCCATCCCACTGCTTCAGCCCAGCCCCTCCTGGATTGTCCTGCCCCTAGGCTACCATGGTTCTCTGATCAAGGAACTTCTATGATCTGCCAGACCATGGATGTTGCTGGACTAGAGAATAACAGTTTTGGGAGGTGCAGCCTGTATAACTTTCTTTCATTAAGCTATTAGTAAGATAATGTACAAGGTAGCATGTTTTGAGTAGAAGGAAAAATAAATGTTCATATGTGGGGTAATTGTTGTCTAAGGATACACTTGATGGATTGATCAGTTTCTAAAATAAAATTATCAGAAAGCTGAATCTTGGTATACATGCTTCCTGCATCGTTGCTTAGTAATTATTTCCCTAGTCACTTTCTAGAGATAAATGAACTTTGTGAACTAGGGAAGTGATAGTGATTCAAGCAAACCCCAGGGAGCGCGGCAAAGGGGCAGCACCAGCCCCAGGCGCACAGCACATGGGTGGCCCCTCCCCGGGCACGCGGTACATGGGCTATGCCGGCCCCAGGTGCACGGCGTATGGGTGTCCCTGCCCCTGGGAATGCGGCATAGAAGCAGTGCCGGCCCCAGGCACATGGGTGCTGCTGACTCCTGGGTGTGCGGCTTATTGGTATCCCCGCCCCTGGGCACATGGCACAGGAGCGGCACTGCCCCGGGAGTGCGGTGCATGGGTGGCCCCGCCCCCGGGCACCCGGCACGTGCATGGCCCCGCCCCCAGGCGCCTGGCAGCCCCAAAAGGTTGGGGACTACTGTTCTAGCTAGTTGGAAGAAAGGGTGCATTGCCCCTTTAAGGGCTCCCTTGCAGCAGGAGGGGAGAAAAGAATAAAGTTGTGGCCTAATTAAGCCAAATCTGTGGCCCCTTGTCTGTCTTCTGATAGAGATGGACATTAGACAGAAACAGTTATTTTTATAGTGTTTTAGATGTTGGTTTTTACAGGCCACTTGCAGGAATTTACCATTGATGCACTGCACTATCAGTGTTTCTGCTTACAGTATTAAATCAAAATACTATTATTCACATCAATGCATGGCAGCCAGGAATCCCAGGCTTGAGTTTGCTGTTCTTACTATAGTTAATAATTCATTGTGCCCTCTGTCATGATATATTGTTACAGGAGCGGTGGGGAATTATACTACAGTAGACTTCTGATAATCCAGCACCTTTTGGACCTAGGTGGTGCCGGATTATCAGATTTGCTGGAGAATCTGGAGGTCCGGTATAGCTGCATGGCTTATCAGCTGGTCAGAACACAATCTTCCTCCCTCTCCCCTCCCCTTTCCTCTTCCCTGAAGCAAAACCTCTTCTCCATACTGTAACATGATCCCACTCCCTCCCCAGCCTTATGGTCCCTCTGGTTACAGCCAGCATGTGTGCTGAGCGGCAGGCTTTTTAATCAGCTGGTCAGGAGCGCTTGGCATTTTGATGCCGGAGTATCAGGAGTGCTGAACAGTTGGATGCCAGACTATTATAGTTTTACTGTAATATGTTTTTTCTGTGTAGCAGGAGTTTCATGGAAACAGAGTAGCAAAAGTGTCCTTGCATTTTGAGAAACTGTATGCTGTTTTGAACAGTTAGGCCTTATAAAGGGAAACTTTAGAAATATTAGTTTAGGTAACATTATAAGTGTTCATAGTGGCTTGCAAACACATTTTAAAAACATTTCCCCTGGGCTGAGAAATTTGCAGTCCATTTAGTCCGAATACTAAGTTGAAAGAAGAAGTTATTTTGTAGCCAGTGTGTGTAATTTAAACAGATTCTGTACTGGTATATGGTATATAGAACTTAACCATTTTTTAGGTTTGCTTACTTGTAATATTTCCGTTTAAATACAGTGGGAAAATGTGGCATAAAATAAAAATGAAACTTATATTTCTATCACTTTCAGGTAATATTAACATCTGGTTATTATGCTGTGTTTAGAGTAAAACTAATAGCAAAAGAACTTGAAGGAATTCATGATGGAGCCATACAAATCACAACTGATTATGAGGTATATTAATTGTTTACCTAAATGACAGTAGTGCTGCCACTGATAAATTAATTGTTATATTTTCTTTTTTGTGTAAAAGCCATTTCATCCTACTGTGAATTAGTATTTTTTGCTATACTTTAAGGTTTTTAATTGACTGAGAGATTAATTATCAAAAGTAGCTCTTATAGTGGTGCAGTAATTCCTTGATGCTGCAAGCCACATTAGTAATTAAGTGCAAAGTCATAAAAGTTCCATTGATGACATGTCTGGATCCCTGTGGCTAGATTACTTTATAAAGTATATGTTGCAATGATTCACAGTGGTACTGTATTTGTTCTGAAGTTATTTTTAAAAAGGCAAATTTCACTCTGCTTCTGGAATTTGTATTTCAATGTATTATGCAATCACATAAGTCCAAGTGCATTGATGCTCAGTGCAGCACAGAATGGATCTTTTGATGTGATATATTGTCATTACAATGTATCAGTCAGTTATTTGTGTGAAAGCATAATATCTCAGATTTTTGTAACCTCCTTTTTGAGACATAGAATGTCTGTCAGTCCACAATATGGAGTCATATGGTTATTGGCACATGGTAGTAAAAAGTTACTTTACTTGACCTTTTTGGTTTTCAGTGCTAATATCCACAAAATAAGATATATTCTAATACTTACAATAAGAGGAGTAACCTTGCAGTGTATAATGGGATTGCTTTAATTTTTAACAGAATTTGTTAAAAACTAACTTTCAAGGTCTATGAATGTGTGTTGATACTGCATGCTATATTGTGAACATTCTGTTTGTTTTTGTGGGTATATGGAGCTATGAAGCATGGTATTTTATGCCATACTTTGGATGCAGCTAGGGAAAAAAGGATCTTTTAAAAAATGTTCAGGTATTCTGTGTTTGGCAGAAATAATATTGGCATTTGTTTGCTTATGCACAGATGCATACATATTTGACCCTTCAGGCAACTGTTAAATCTTCTGATTGTGAGGACTTTTTGGACTGATAGATATGTTATATACAGGCAGTCCCCGGGTTACGTACAAGATAGGGACTGTAGGTTTGTTCTTAAGTTGAATTTGTATGTAAGTTGGAACTGGTACATATTGTAGGGGAAACTCTAGACAAACATTTCTCCAGAGCTCAGTTCTATTCTCCCACACCTCACTTCCCTCAGTCCTTTATTCTCAAGCGGAGGTGTCTGCTGAGAAAAGCTGCTCCGCGTGTCCCTGGTCTGCTGTGGGGGGCGCTAGCTTTGCATCTCCCTGGTCTGCTGGGGGGAAGCAGCTAGTGCGGGGTTGCCTCACCCCGTTTGTAAGTAGGGATCCGATGTAAGTCGGATCCATGTAACCCAGGGACTGCCTGTATATGTTAATCTATAATATTATTTATATATAGTCCAATTACTAAAACTGATGTTTGTGTAGATAGCTATATGTTAGCTAATAAGTCACTATCATTTATAGTGCTTCTAGAGCAGTTTAATATCTCCTGTGTAAACAAGTGCAGTATTTTTGAGAAGATGCCATTGTATTTTCCTAGAAGGAACAAAAATGTTGTTTCTTACACTGAAATGTTGTAAGTTGCTTGTATGTGTTGTTCTGCCTGGCATGGAGTTTAATATACAATGATAGAATGAGTGTATGATCTGGAGAAAGGGGTAAGCAGTGAGTTGGTAAAGTTTGCAGATGATACAAAACTGTTTAGGATAGTCAAGACAGAAGCAGACTGAGAGAGACTCCAAGAAGATCTCACCAAACTGAGTGATTGGGCAACAAAATGGCGAATGAAATTTAATGTGGATAACTGTAAAGTAATGCACATCGGGAAAAATAACCCCAACTATACGTACAGTATGATGGGGGCTAATTTGGCTTCGACAAATCAGGAAAGCGATCTTGGAGTTATCGTGGACAGTTCTCTGAAAACTTCCACACAGTGTGCAGCAGCGGTCAAAAAGGCAAATAGGATGCTAGGAACTATTAAGAAAGGGATAGAAAATAAGACACAGAATATCTTACTGCCCCTGTACAAAACTATGGTATGCCCACATCTTGAATACTGTGAGGAGACCACATCTGTACACCTCAAAAAAGATATTTTGGCCTTGGAAAGGGTTCAGAAAAGGGCAACTAAAATGATTAGGGGTTTGCAACGGGCCCCATATGAGGAGAGGTTAAAGTGACTGGGACTTTTCAGTTTAGAAAAGAGGAGACTGAGGGGGGATATGATAGAGGTATATAAAATCATGAGTGGTGTGGAGAGGGCCGATAAAGAAAAGTTATTTATTAGTTCCCTAAATAGAAGAACTAGAGGAGACCAAATGAAATTAATGGGTAGCAGGTTTAAAACTAATAAAAGGAAGTTTTTCTTCACACAGTGTGTAGTCAACCTGTGGAACTCCTTGCCAGAGGAGGCTGTGAAGGCTAGGATTATAATCGAGTTTAAAGAGAAGCTAGATAATTTCATGGAGGTTAGGTCCATAAAAGGCTATTAGCCATGGGATAAAATGGTGTCCCTGGCCTCTGTTTGTCAGAGGCTGGAGAGGGATGGCAGGAGACAAATTGCTTGATCATTGTCTTCGGTGCACCCTCTCTGGGGCATCTGGTACTAGCCGCTGTCAGTAGACAGGATACTGGGCTAGATGGACCTTTGGTCTGACCCAGTACGGCCGTTCTTATGTTATGTGATTAAGGAAAAACGTGCTTGTTAATCTTTTCGTGATAATTTTACTTGAGAAATGAAAATTAGCTGAAGAATTAAGATATTTGACTGGATGATATGTTAAAATAATCATCCTTGTATTAAACTTTACACATAGGATTGTCATATTATGTCAAGTTTGTTGTCTTTATTCTGTATAAATAAACATAATTAATAGAACTTTAGATTTTTAAGAAAATATTTTGGTGTAATTAAAAGTGGATATAAAAGGTTGAATAGGCATACTTATAAAGATTCCATTTGGGGAATGTATATTACTAAACTTCTTTTGTTCTTTCAGATTTTAACAATTCCTGTGAAGGCTGTAATTGCTGTGGGTTCACTGACTTGCTCTCCTAAACACATTCACCTTCCACCTTCCTTTCCAGTAAGATACTTTGTTTACAATATTTTACTTTTTTTTTTCCTCCTGATCCTTTTCAGGTACAACTTCCCTTAAGATTTGCTTTATGTCTTGTAAATGTCTATGCTAGAAGGAACAGTGGTGATAATTCTTAAACTCTTATTAACCATCAGTACAGAAGCTTTTATTACCTCACATAGATGGCACGAGACACAACTCAACTCCTCTTGTATTGTATTACATGAATAGAGCACTGGATATTGATTTCTGTTCCAGATTTGGCTCTTTTTTGAGCTTTATTATGTTGTAGCTGTAGTTAGTTTTTTCCTCGTTCCTTCTGCATTATTGCTAGGAATAAGAGAAGGGCATCTAATTATATTCGTTATTAGGGATGTTAAAAGTTAACCTGTAAGCAAGAGGCTTATTGGTAATTTTACCAGTTAATAGACTTGCTAGTGAATTCCAATAGGCTGGAGCAGCCCTGGCTGTGGAGCGGCCAGTGATCGGTCAGTTGGTGGGACCCCACTATTGCAGCTGGACCATACGGCCGTGGCAGGACTGGCAGCATGCCCTAAGTTAAACAGCTGGTTAAGCATTAACGATTAACCGGTTAACTGTTTTAATATCCCTTTCAGCTTTAGCAAGGGTGGAGAACTTAAGGCCCCGGGCGCTGAAAGCAGCCCCTGGCTTGCCTGTGTCCGACACCTAAGTGTCATTTATAAAACAGTTTTTCGATTAAAATTGCCCATTGATAAAAGATGGGTGTGTTTGCACAGCTTCATGGATGGGGCTCTGGAGTGTGTGTCCATTAATCAGGACAAAGCCATGCAGTAAACTATTCCTTCATTTACCAGCATCGCTTTTTGGTGATTGTTCTTGTTTGGGATACTTCAAGAATTCCTTGAGCCTACAGCCATCCTTGGAGCTTGCAGGCCCACAGTTGTGCCTCACTTCCATTCCTCACCTTATCTTCAGTACTGAGATATATAAAGGGTAAATCTCAGATTACGTTTGAGGGAAAGAAGTAAGTTTCTAGTCCTCTTCTTGCAATAAAACCTGCAAATGACACTTAGGTGAGTCACCTAACCCTTCTGCTTTCAAATGATGAAGTGTTACTGACCTGCTTTATGGATGACCTAAGCTTGTAGAAAAACTTGGAATTTCAATTTTTTTCTGTTAAACATCTGTTTTTATCAACTTTTTTTGAAAGCTTCATTCAGTTTGACTGTGATTGTAATGGTTTAGCAGTAAGTGTTTCTAAAGCACTACATCAGTTCTAAATTTCACCATGTACACACTCATAACTCATTGATAGCTCAGAGTATTGCACTCCAGAATCCAAAATTATTGTCCTTTTCAAAATACTTCTATATGTTTGCACCTAAGCACCAGTTCCATCAGAATCGGCTTGTTCTCCTTCCACTTCATAGGGTGGGTAGAACCTAAAATCCAGCTCTTGCTCACATTCTTTTGGCCCTTGTAATATAAAAGGAGTCAGATAAGTGTGGGTAATATCTAAAAAAAATTATCTTACCAATCATCCTCAGAATAATTAGGGTGATTCTTTGCATAGTAGTGTTGCATAAATTGCTGGTTTCATCCCCTTGGAGGCTAGTCTGATTTACCCCAAGAAGAGAGTCACACTTTCAGGCTGGGTCCAACTCAAGTTTATTGGTTGCAACCAAGGTACGGCTAAGGAACTCAATGTTCAAATCAGAGCCGACCCCCAACATCTCATAGGCAGGGGTTTTTATAGGGTTCACATCTTTCCTGGTTTAGGTGCCTTAACATGATAGGTTACTTCATCTTTGACATTTAGCATTCCTATAGGTCAGGTTAATTTTCCAAATGAGGTTAAATACAGTGCCTACTTGCTGAACAAGGGGAAAGCCATACTTCCCTTTTTCCTTTCCTGCTTGAGCCGGTCACAAGTTTAAAGGATGTGGAATCTATCCATATCTCTACTTAACAGAAGACTGGTTTCACTTCCCCTCGTCTCCTTATTATAAGTTATTACCTGTGACAGGCCTTGACCTTTGTCATGTCTTACTCCTATACAAATAGCAAATATATCTAAGCATTAGCAATGTATAATTATTGTACGTGCCCCTCATAGGGGAATCAATAGCTCCGGGGGATTTGACTTCCCTTTTACACATCAAAGTGAAGTCCTGTTCAGCTTGCGAACAGGAACAGCTAACAGGGAGTTTGGAGAGGGAGTTCTCCAGGTAAAAGAGGAGTAAAAGTGGGTCCCTTGTGGTAAGTGGCTGTCTGGAGTGTGTGTCTGTGTGGGGGGGAGTTATTTGCTGTGTGCTGAGCTTGTGTTTGTCTGTTTGGTTTGTTTGTTTGTTTGTTTGTTTGAAGGAGCTTCTAAAAGGTTTGAAATCTAGAAGCCTCTGTTAATTGGCTGAGCCTCAGTCAGGGGGAGGGGCTACCAGAGCTATATAAGCCTGTGACTCAGCGCCCAGGGAGCTTGTGAACAGGAACAGCTAACAGGGAGTTTAGAGGGGGAGGTTGGAGGGCACTAGTGACTTCTGACCTTCTTTAAAAC